ACTAAAAATTCCTACAAGAAACGTTTTAAAATAGAAAAGTCTAATATACGTGCAAAGCAACGCGAAGTAGAAAAACCGAAAATTATATGAGCAAATACGCAAAGGAGCTAATGTTCCGGTCAGCAGAAGTCCCAAGTGAATGCATGTTCTCGTGGCAAAGAATGCTCTCCCGCAAAAATTATGAGAGGGATAGGGAGAAGTGGCTATTACCGATCTTCGGCCAAGGAACGATAAGCAGTCAAATGCCGCGAGTTTTTTTACAATTGGGTCACCTAGAACCCCCTAATAATGATAAGCAGTCAGATTTTGACTTAATTGTCAAGACGATGGACTGAGGCATGTCTCTAGTCAGCAACAACAAATTAGACTAGACTTAACTTATAGTCTGGTTGCGGTAATGGGTGATGCCAGAATTTCAATGAAAAGTGCTTAGCTCAATTTGTAAGTGCACATGTATGTTTTGAGTAAATAATCCCGCCATATCATTTAGAGCGATAAGCAATTAAAAATGCAGGGTTCAACAGCCCATTGACTTTTCACAGTTCCGTTTCGGCTAGACCCCCATCGTAACGCTGGAGCAGCTCTTCAAGCAAACAAGGGACAGGCTTGTCGAGGCAAATTCGGAGTAGTCATTATTTTACTTAGTTGGTCAACAAAGAAATGGCCGTATTAACAGCAATACTTGGTTCATCATAATTCCTCAAGTTTTTTCAGGGGTACTTAATTCACTAAGGTTAGTGAAAAAAGTATTTTCACCAAGTTACGGTGTATACGCCCTAGATTTGGTATCGAATAGCCGTTGTACGTTCATTGCGTCCTACACATGAGGAGGCTACATTATATTACTTTGCCGATGGAAATTTTCGAAGAAACACTTAAGGCGCTAAAGAAGTTAGCCAGCTTTTTATAATTTTAAGAGGAGTCGGCTAGGAAAATTCTTTAGAAACACAAGGAGTAAAACATCCCTAATGAGTTAAAAGGGACCTCACCGAGCATGGTTCTACAAAGCGATCGCTTTCGTTATTAAATTCATCGACTGCACTATACACTGGCAAAAAACGGTGCTGTAGAAACACGAGGATGGATAGTTTGGCACAGTCTTAACCGATAACCGGTTACATACGACTGGACATAGTGGTTACGTTCGCAAATTATAGGAGAAAAGCGCACTAAGCGTGTGCCAAAAAACAAATAGGAGCGACTTAAATTCAACACTTGATTTTAAGAAATAATTTAACATGCACTAATTAGACCGGCTAACTCACGCGAGGTTCTTTGCATCCATGTGGCGCTTTGTGATGGCAAGGTGATTTTCGTAAACTTGTTGGGGGCTGAACATCAAATTTTTGGCAATGAACCTCGTGATGGGATGCTATTTTATTAATTTACATGAAACGCACAAATACCTTGTAATACTCCCAGTACCTTGGCTCATAATCCTCAGGAGTCTCCACAAGCTCTGCTTGACCAATGAAGGTGTTCGTAAGGAACGTTAACAGCCCTAAAGGCACTACCCCCAACATTATGAAGAAATGCTACAAAAAAATAAACAGAAGTACTAACTGACCATTTCATCATACACTTTCCCATTATGGAATCCAGTCTGCTTGATGCGCATTGTGGCACCGCCGCCACTAGAGTTTCGAGTGGGAACTGCTAAAATGACTTAAGTTGAGGACACCTACCATTAAGTGGCCACAAACGGCTGCGAAACGAAAATGATGCAGAGTGCAAATTGCTTTTATTAGGTAATATGCCGTAGTTATTGAGTAGACGGCCAAAAGTGCCGGGGCCCCGGCAGAAGGCACCCACAGCCCGAAGCATTTTTACATAGGCGCCGTGTTGCCAGTATAATCAAAGCGAGGGCTCAAAAGTGCAAAAATTGTCTGAAACTGAAATATTATTAAATATACTATTGCTTTTTCGCCCAAACCATGCACAGGCATAAAATTCAAGTTAAGAATTGGAAAGCAGGCCTTAAGTGAAG